AGGCTACTATGACTTTCTGACAACGTCTCAGAAAGGGGATCATCTGCTTCCGGGCCATGGGTTCCTGAACTGGTGGAAAGCAAAACCATAGATAAAGGGGGACTATTGCATTTCCTATGGCCCCACAATAGACCTGTGGCCAGGTGCTCAGGTACCCACTTAGCTCTTCCAGTCTCTGTTTGAGGACCACAGCCGGGACTGACTCCAGTCCCAGTGATCTGACCCCAACTTCAGCGCTATTATCTCCTAGCAGAATGTTTCTCTTGGTGAACAGTACTGAATCCCTCCTAAGCCCCTGCAGGCACAAAAGAATTTGCTCACTTTTGATCAGAACCCATATCCTGGGAAACTCCTCCTCCTCACTTTTAAAGACCCACATGAAACATAACACTCTCAGTGAAGCTTGTCCTACCTCCCCCTAGGCAGGAGGAGTTCCATCTTCCTCTATGATCCTAGAGATGCTGGTACATATAATAATCATATTAATAAGGATAATAGGAGTAATAATAGTAGTAAAAAGGTCTAAGTTACCATTTGCTGAGCGTATCTATGAGCCAGGTGTCATGTTAAGTGCTTTGCATGCATTATTTAATGCTCAGAAGAACCCTAGGGGGAGACACTATTATTATCCTCAGTTTATAGATTACATGAATTAGGCGTTAAGTTTGGCTGCAGGTAGAAAACTGTTCAGAGTGGCTTAACCAAACAGGAACTTATTTTGCTCAAATAACAATAAATTAGAGGTAGATGGGCTAAGGCTGCTATGGTGGCCCCATAATACCATTCTTAGCATGGTGGCTTTTGTCACTGTGGAGACAACGCATCTGCTGTTTTCCAATCTGTGCTCCAGGCAGGAGGAAGGGTAAACAGCCAAGGATGAAGGGCAAAGAGCCTCTTCTTCCTGGAGTTTTGCCTTACTGGTTGGGAAAGGACACCATCCCTTACCTACATCTTGCTGGCCAAAACTATGTTATGTGGCCACCCTTAGTTACCAGGGAGCCCGAGAATTCTACATTTCTTTTTTTCTTTTTAAAGCTGGGCAGGTTTCTGCTCTGAACAAAGCTGGGGTTCTGCTAATAAGGAGGAAGTGGAGGACGGATGTTGGATTAGAAACTACCCATGCTTGTCACACAAATGAAGAAAGTCGGCATCAGAGATGCTCAGGGTCTTGTTCAAGGTCAGATATGTGGCCAAGGCAGATTCCAACCCAGAGACCATGTCGTTAACTGCTGTGAGAGATGACCTCCTTAGCATGATGTGTTACAATTGTCTTTTTATTTGTTCATCCCTTCTTCCCTAGCCTGAGAGCTCCCTGATACCAGAAATCAGTTCTACTCACCTTGGTATATCCCAGACTCCTGCCCATAGTTTGTTAAGTGGATAAATGAATAAATGTTAGGACTTCAGTAATTTCTTCAGCTAAAAATTCTTTCTAGGAAAAATATTCTTGAATTGTCCTCTTCCTCTGTGATGTTTTATAACCTTTTCCCAGACAGGTAGCTGTTGATGTGACATGCAAGAAAGAATCTGGTCTCTGTGTCACCATAGGTGCCTCTGGCCTCTTCTGCTAGTTACAGGCTTCTAGTCTCTCTCTCCCTAAATGCTTCATGCTTATTTACAGGGCAGGGTCCATTTTCTCTTTGTTCTGCTTGGTCATTCAAACATTCCTATAGTACATCATTCTATTTCTTAGCGACATGTGCGCTAATTAAATAACACTGATTTGAGTCACAAGCAGCCCTGATCCCAAATCTCATTTCTTGCTGGGTCATGGAGCAGGCCAGGAAGGACCTAGCTAGCATCATTTTGATTCCAGTATTTTGGCAAGGCAGGTAGGGACAGGAGGAGAATTTTTAAGATACCAGTTTGGAAGGTAAAATTTTCAGAAAGCCAACCACTGACGTCCCTAGGTTAAAAAAAAAAAAAATCGTTGTTCCATAGGTCACAAGGAAATATCCTGATTTTTCTTCAAAGCCATAACGCTTGGTTGGACAGGTTCAAGCCCCATCGGCTGTGGGGGTGCTGCCAACGGGGACCCCTGACTTAGGTTAGGGCTGCCTAATTCAGCTCAAGAATAGGCTTGCAGGCATTTGGACTTCCAACTAAATGGAATCCTTAACACTGCCCAAGTAGCAGTATTAAGAGATGCTGGGCTTCTCTTTCCAGCCCATGGGCCCTAGCCAGTAGCTTACAATCACTAAGCAAATTGGATGACAAATATTTACCACTTGTTAAGCAGTTGCTATATGTTAAGCGCTGTGCTAAGTGTGTTATTTTGTCTCATTTAATCCTTAGAACAACACTGCAACTGTCATTGTCATCTTACAAACAAGGAATATAAGGCTGAGTGAAAAATGATTTGCCCAACATAGTGGTTGCACCAAGGGGTGATTTGGAGAACTCTGTCTGCCTATCTTAATCTCTAGCAGCCGCACTGAAGCCATCTGATGTAAATTTTAAAAACCCGTAGTAGTCATACTGATAGTCTTTGATCTTGATAATGAACTTTTTTTCACTCTCATTTAAAATGTGAATAGAATGATCATAGTAATAGTAATAATAATAGTTAACATTTATTGAGTGCTCAGTTTCGGGGCAATTTGTTTGAAGTTCTTAATATGTGATAACTCCTTTAAGACTCACAATAATCCCTCCAGGGAGGTACTACTATTATTTTTTTAAAGATTTTATTTATCAGAGAGAGAGAGAGCACAAGCAGGGGGAGCAGCAGGCAGAGGGAGAAGCAGGCTCCCCGTTGAGCAGGGAGCCCAGTGTGGGGCTCTATCCCAGGACCCTCGGATCATGACCTGAGCTGAAGCAGATGATTAACTGACTGAACCACCCAGGCGTCCCAGGGAAGAACTATTGTTACCTTAACTTTTAGATGAAGAAAGTGAGGCATAGGAGGCTAGGCAGTTTTTACAAAGCAAAAGCAAACGTGACTTTTAAGTGGCAGAGCTAAAACTTGGCTATTTTTATTGATCTATAACACAGTTTAGATTAAAAAAAAGTGCTTGCTATGAAAACTCAGCTTCAAGGCAATATTTTCAGTCTTCCCTTACAAGCAGTGTGCAGGCCCTAAATCCCTTCTGTATAGAAATTCTTAAGTCATCACTGGCTCAACATCACATGGGTAGTAGGTGGTAAAGCTTGGATTCAAATTTGTGTTGGTCTGATTCCAAAGCAAGGGATCTTTACCACTGTACTGCTCTAGCACAAGCCAGGTTAAAACCCAAGTTCAAAGGACAAATCATAGACCTATCCGGAAATGACCTTAGAAATCATCTAACCCAGGGTTTCTCAACCTCAGCATTATTGACATTTTGGGCTGGATAAGTATTGTGGGGACTGTTCTGTTCTTAGCAGGATGTTGAACAACGTTCCTGGCCTCTACCCACTAGATACCAGATTTACCCCCGCCCTTACCCCCCAGTTGTAACAAACAAATATGTCTCCAGATGTTGACAAATGTCCTGGGAGAGAGGGGAAGGGGCAAAATCGCCCTGGTTGTCAACCACTGATCTAAACCATCTCCTCATTTTACAAATGATGGAGCAGGGATCCAAAGAAATGAAGTAATTTGGTTAAGTTAGGTAGCAGAATCCAGGTCATTCACGCAGCATCACCATGTCCCTATAATGTACAGAGCATATGTGGCACTCAGAGGAAGTAGGTAAGGTCTTGCTCCTTACAGTCTGGTAGGAGAGAAAAGCTACTGCACATACATCTCCAGTTGCACGACGTTGTGAAGCAATAAAGTGCTGCACAGGCAGCAAGGTGCAGAGAATACGATCTGGTATCCTGAGGTCTGGATCTGCCACTTTTTAGCTGCAGTACTTAGTTCACTAAGCTTCAGGTTCTTCATCAATGAAACGGAGGTCATGGTATTTACTCTGCCTATACCAACAGCTTCAAAAGGGGTCTGTGAACGCCTCGTGCGAACTGTAAAGCTCTTACAAACGTCAGATGTTATTAAGATGATCAGGAATACGATAATAATTGTGATTAAAGTCTTTCAGAACTGGGGAGAGCCGTGCAGTGGTGGCTTCATTCCCGGACCTTCCAAGTCGAGGTCCCCTTCCTTCTGCGGGAAGGGGAGCAGGCAAAGAGCCCTCTTCCACAGAGCTCCTCTTTCCTCGGCTGGAACCAGCGCGGCCACCTGGGCGAACTCGGGTCACAGCTTCGCAAGATTAGCCCTCCCCGGCCCTTGGGTCTCTCAAGCCCCGCCCGCCCTGGGCTGTGGCCCCGCCCTTAAAGCGCAGACTCCGCCTCCTCCGCGCGGGCCGGCACTCCAGCAGCGCGGCGCCTCCAGGACAAGCCCTCGCCCGGGCCGGAGATTCCCGAACTCCCCCGATCTCTTCCCGGCCTCCCTCGGACGCCCGGAGCGGAGGCGGCGGAGATTGCCGAGGGGCGCTGGCCCCGCCCCCGCCGCCCCCGCCCCGCCACAGCCTCCCGCGCGGGCAGGAGTCCCAGATCCCGGTCCCTCCCTCCTCCTTTCTCTCCGCCCGCCTTCCCGGGGCTGCCACAGTGGCGGGTCGGAGGCTCCCGGCCAGTCAGCTCGTTCCGGCCCCGAGCCCCTCCTTCCCCCCCCCAAACAAACAGCCCTCCCCACTCCTCTGGAGCCCGGACCGCCCCCTTCCTCCCTCGGCCCGGCGTGTGGCGAGGGACAGTGTGAAGGAGCGAGCGCGGGCCGGCGGGCGAGCTCCGTGAGTGCGAGAGGCGGGGCGCGCGGCGGGCCGGGCCGGGGTCGCGTGTGCGCGTGGGGGCGCGAGCGAGTGCCCGTCGCGCCCCGCCGGCCGCCGCGAGCGAGCCGCCGGCGAGCGACGAGCGGCCACCGCCAGCCGCCGAGGGGCGCCGGGCCCGCGCGCGCGCACGCACGCACGCACGCGGGGGCGGGGGCAGGCGCGCGCCCGCCTGTCGCGACAGTCGGGGCCGAGGCCCAGGGGGAGGTGGCCTGTCGCGGGTCGCCCGGCTCCCGGAGGCGAGGGGGGCGCGGGCGGATGGCGGAAGGCGCCCAGCCGCAGCAGCCGCCTCAGCTCGGGCCCGGCGCCGCTGCCCGGGGGATGAAGCGGGAGTCGGAGCTGGAGCTGCCGGTGCCCGGAGGGGGAGGAGACGGAGCCGAGCCCGGCCTGAGCAAGCGGCCGCGCACCGAGGAGGCGGTGGCCGACGGCGGCGGCGGGATGCAGGTGACCGCGCGGGACGGCGCTCGGTTACGGCGGGGGGGCGGCGCGGGGGCCGCGAGGGCGGCGGGGGCCGGGAGGGGGAGGGCCTCCGGGGGTCCTGGCTTGGGGGTGGGAGGGGGCCGGTCGGGGCCTGGTTGGGAAGGTGGGGCGGGCTCCCCCGGCTTGGAGGCGAAGGGTGCGGGAGGAGCCCGGTGTGCCCAAGAGGGTCCCGATTCCTGAGGGGGCGGGGGTCCCGACGCGTGAATAGGTTTTGGCGGGGGGGATCGAACATGGTTGAGGTGGATTCCATTTCTTCAGACCCTTCCTTAGTTCCTTGGGGTGGAGTGGAAGCCGGGAGATCCTGGGTCTGTTGCCCAGAGAGCTGCTGCAATGAGTCGAGGACTGGGGGTGGGGGGGGCTGTGGTGGGAAACCTCCCAAGAAGGAGTACCTTTTTGGCAGCTCTAGACACACGCGGGGATGGGGAAGGGGAGCAGCATTATAAAGGAGGGGAGTGGAAAGCGAGAAACCTCCTCGAGAGCCCAAAGGGGATGTGGCTTAGCTTGTGGGTTCAATCAGTTACACAAGGAGTGTGGGAAGTACCAGGAGTTCGGTAGTGGTGTGGGGACACCGTGGTGCTCGGTCTCATTAACTTTGTGGAGCATGCTAATGAGTCTGGAGAGAGACCCAGGACATGCCCCTCCTTACTTTGCCAGTTGCTTCTTACACGGCCGAGGATACCGACCCGCTCTTTAATGTCCTGGGATATAAAAGACAATTTGTAGGGCTGTTGGGAGACTGGATTCTAAGTTGTGGACTCAAGGATAAGCTGGTTGATTTGGGTAGGGAGGGGGAAAGGTAGTGATGATGTCAGTTGGCTTTGTAGTTTGAAGAAGAGCTGAAACCTTCGGACCTTTTAGGATTTGGTCTCTGTTCAGAAAATAGTTGCTGTGAAATGGTGGAGCTCACATATCAGCAATTGTTTAGAGACCTGCCTAATTCTCCTAGAATCATAGAGTGTTAGAGATAGAAGGGACCAGAGACAACATCTTTTCAGGGGTTCTTCATCTGGATAGACCTGGAAGATTTTTTTTTTTAATATTTTTTTATTTGACAGAGTGAGACACAGCGAGAGAGGGAACACAAGCAAGGGGAGTGGGAGAGGGAGAGGCAGGCTTCCCGCTGAGCAGGGAGCCTGACGCGGGGCTCCATCCCAGGACCCTGGGATCATGACCTGAGCTGAAGGCAGGCGCTTAACAACTGAGCCACCCAGGCGCCCCTAGACCTGGAAGATTCTTATGTTGAACAGTTTACATGCACTTTTTGGTGGTGGGGGGAAGTCAGTAGTTTTTGTCTTTGTGGGTTTTTCTTTTTGTTTTGTTTTTTGGAGGGGATTCAAGTCTCAAAATGTTTTAACCACCACCTTTTAGAGATGGGGGCTCAAAAGTCCAGAGAAGACTAGTGACTTGCCTAAGGCCACCCAGTTAGCTGGTAGCAAAACTAGAACTAGAAGCCTAGTCTTCTAATTCCTATTCCTGTGCTCTCTCCATTACACCACTCTTGGAAATCCCTGCAGTGCTAAAAGACTTCCTGTGCTCTGCTCCCAGCTTTTCAAGGCTCTGCCTGACTTCCTGTGTTACAGACGGAGCTGTATTTAAGCGTGGCATATTTGCTGTGTGCTTATGGGTCTTCTTTGCAGAGGCCACTCAGTTACTTGTGTTGATTTGGGTAAAGTGACTCTCTTGCTGTTTATTTTTAAATTCTTTTGTTTTGTTTGCCTGCTTTTGTTCTCCATCAGAACTCTTGTCAGGCAGAGGGATTGTGAGGAGTAAAAGTAAAAAATATTGAGGAACATGGGGAGACTTGAGGTGAGGTGGGTTAACATTGGCTGATCAGAAGAGGTAACTGGATGTGGGTGCTGGTGAGCACTGTCTGCTTGGTGTGTGTGTGTGTAAATCTGTGTATGTCTGTATTCATTCACTGTTTCTGTCAATCACGGTTAACAGACACCCCCCCCCCTTTCCTCTCCTTCTCCTCCTGGGGCCCATTATTTGCTGGTTGCCTTCAAATTGGCTAAGGATAGTAGTATTTGGAAATAGAGCGGTGTATAGGGACTTTGGAGTATGCAGAGGAAGGAGTGGATGAGGCCCTTTGGGTACAAATGGGCAACTTAGAACTATCCCACAGAGAATCTTTTTCTCACTCTGTGTATTTGTGGATCTTTATTTATTTTTCAGGTTATGCATTCTCATTGCTGTAGTTCTGACACACCATGTCACACAGGTATTCAAATCATCATTGATCTAGCCTCCTGCCTTCAACTAGCTGTATGCTTCTGGGAAAATCCCTTCTTTTGGGGTCCTCTGTTTCCTTAGTTGTAAAGTAAAGGGTTTGTACAGGATGACTTCTAAATCATCTTCTAAAAAATATATCAAGTTCCCTGACCTTAAGGTGCTTGGTGTTTCCAGTCTGGGTGGAGAGACAAAAATGGGTGAAAAATTAAAAAAATAGCACGCATGTGTATATGTGTGGTTTTGTGTGTGTGTGTGTAAGTTCCAGAGGAACAGGAGTGGAGATACCATGGGGTGGATGCATGTCACAAGTCACTGCATAATTTAGAGCCAGAGTATGCTGAGGATTTGTGCCAGTGGGTCCAGAAGAAGGAGATGGTCATTCCTGCTGAAATGGTCAAGGAAGGCTTAATGGGAATGTTGAAATTTGAGGTATAATCTGAGTAAAGGAGAAGTAATGTTCCTGAAAAGATGAAACTTAACACTGGGTGACCCACACTTCTAGTGCTTTGCTATATCCTTCTGATAATAATGGTAGGATATTTAGTACTCATTTAACTAATGTTTATTGAGCAGCTGCTATGTGCCAGGCTCTGTTTTAGAGCCTAGGAGACATGGCAATAAACAAAGACTACGCTCTCATGTAACTAATAATCTCATGGAAAGAGACAGTAAAGAAACCAACAACTGTTATTAGGGGGTGGTAAGTGCCAAGAAAAAATATAAAGCAGGGAGAGGGATGGAGAGTGAAGATGGTTAGGAAAGGCCTCTCTGATGGGTTACCTTAGAATGAAGTGAAGGAGGGAATGGACCATTTAGATATCTGAGGGAAAGGGGTTTAAGTGGAGGAACTGTGGGTGCAGGGGCATTGAGAAAGAAGTGCACTTGATGTGTTTGAGAACAAGAGGCCAGTGGGGCTGGAGCAGAAGGAGCAGGGAAGAGGCAGTCTTAGGAGATGATCATGGCTGTGTAGAAATGCCTATAGGCCCTATGCAAATAGGCACTTAAAAAAATCTAGAGTAGTGGGTGCCTGGGTGGCTCAGTTGTTAAGCGTCTGCCTTCGGCTCAGGTCATGGTCCCAGGGTCCTGGGATCAAGTTCCACATCAGGCTCCCTGCTTGGCAGGAAGCCTGCTTCTCCCTCTCCCACTCCCCCTGCTTGGGTTCCCTCTCTCGCTGTCTCTCTCTCTGTCAAATAAATAAATAAAATCTTAAAAAAAAAAAAATCTAGAGTAGCCAACCTTTTAAGTATAAGGGTTGGTCTTAAAGCACATGTTTTTTGTTTTTTGTTTTCTTATAGCTTAACATAAATGGAGTTTTTCTGAGGTCATAGCTCCTAGGAAGCCTTCGCTGACAACTTCGTTCACACCAGTCAGACTCTCCTCTGGCCTCCTCTTATATTGATGCTTAATTATGCATCATCTTGTGTTGTTCCTTGTTTTATTCTTGTTTCCCTAGTGAGACTGTAAGCTTCTAGAAGACAAACTATATTTTCTTTGTTCTATCCTTTGTAATACCTAACAGGTTTAGGTACATAGTAAGTGCTCAATGCCTGTGAAGTTGAAATTTACTTTTCACAAATGATTAAGTGATGGAAAAAATCATGAAATTCAGGGGTGAGAATTTGTTTATGAAATTCTTCAATCTTCTCTGTGTCAAAGGATTAACCTTTTTTACAGAAAGAAGTCCTTTCCTAGGGTTAATTTGCCAAGGCTGCTTACTAAATGGAACTACAACTTGAAGCTATAGATTCCAAAGCTGAACCTGTTGAGTTACAGCCAGGAAGCTTTTGGAGTAAATCATTACTTCCCAAAGCAGGGCAGAGAGGACATGAGAGAGTCTGTGGTGCTTATGTTATAATCCTTTGGCTAAGAAGGAACTATGGGGGACAGAGAGGAAGGATTGTGCCTTTCAAGGGCAGTATCCAGACGCCTTATGTGGACAGAAGAGGGGTTAGCACAGCCCTGAAAACAGTATAGAAATAGAGAACCCTGAGCAGAGGAGGAGGGAAGAGACAGATTCAACCTGAAAATTGAAGTATGGTTTGAGAAATGTAGTTAGTTGTTAAAGCGGGTGCTGGCAATACCGTACTCTAACCTGGTGGAAAGTTAAATGAGTTACATCTATAGGTATGGGGGGTTCGTTTCACTGTAAGCAAGTCTGATATGTGTGAAACTGGGCTTTATAAAAGATACTGGGGAGTGAATTCTTTCGGTCAGCTCTTCTAGTGAATATAAACAATTTGATGATCAAAAATTCAGTTTTTGTGTGACTTTCTAGGAACTTAGCTGCTGTATAAATAAGGCAAAGTGCACCTTAATTATTACTTCTAGCTTTCAGCAGAATTCTTTATTGCAGTGAAATGTTGGTATGTGATTATTATATGGCCAGCTAACTGCTTCTGACCATCGAGTCATAAATCCAGTTTAGTTAAGTGGGTTCAGCAGTCGTTATTCTGGTAGTAGGAAAGCTTTCTTTCTGGTCTTAGGGCAGAGGTTCCAGGTAGCCTGTGATTTCTATGTGTATGCTTCATTTCTTGTAATAGTTTATCTTCCCATTTGCTTGTTTCTTTCCTACTAGGCGGATGTCTCTTTGGATTCTCATTTGGGTGTTTGGTGCTGATGCTGAACGTGGTGCTACCATTTGAGTAGAGCTATAAAAATAATGTGCTTTCCTTCCAAGTGATTTCATGAACGATGTCTCACAAAAATTATTGAGTTTTTCATTTCTACTTGTC